TTTACTATCCTAGTTGCTTACTGTCTAGTACCTACGTCAAAATTGCCCCCCACCTTTTTGCCTGTCCATGAAAGCATCTAGTTTCTTCTTAAAGATAGTCACAGAAGGGGCAGCCACTACTTCGTCATCTAACGCATTCCACGCGTTCACCACTCTGCAGGTAAAGAATTCCTGTCTCGACCTGAGCCGCTATCAGGAATGGAAAGAAAGAAAGGAACTGCAGGGATGCATTGCATCATTTAGATATCTTAAGGCATCAGAGTGTTGCAGATCCATTACATTCCTCAATAGAAAGCATGATGCTCCTATTTATATTCTACCAAGAATGTGAAATCTATGACATTAAAAATTGGATCCCCCCGAGTACAGTCTCAACACTTCTAATGTGCTTCTTCTTCTTCATGTGCTTGATCACCTTCCAAATTAACGTGATGACCACCATTCTGGAAGATGAGCACCACCTTTTTCTGCTCAAGTTGGTTGATTATGACATTGAGTTGCCTGCAAATGCTAAAAAGTTCATCGGAAAAGTTTTCAAGACCCAATAAGTATTGGAAGACTCATGGTAGAAATGGGAGCAAGATGAAGGACTCCATTGAAAATTGAAAGGCTGAAAGGAAAACTGGCGTATTGATCGATGCAAAATAAAAAGGTTTCAAGCTTTAGTAGGAAAGGAAAATAGGATAGAAGCACCTAGGACTTTTTTTTCTGTGTTATAGCACATGGAGCACGCAGGATACTGGAAGCTGTATGTAGTAACTGAGGATAGCCTAAATTGATAGTTTCATAGAATGCCGCATTTTTAAATAACAAAGCAATATATTTCTGAGTCCTTTTTTTTTCTTTTTTTACCCTGCTTTGGCCGTACAAAGGTTTAGGAGTGGAAGACTAACTTGGTTCAATCTGTCCTTGAGCTACAACTGAATCGCAGCCAGCAGGAGCCTTCGTGATATTCGGTTCACACTGAAAGACGGAGTGCTCGTTGCCAAGTATGACCTCTGCCAGGAACATGATTCCTATATTCTCCTTGTTTGCTCCCCAGCCTCCCGTCGACCCCACTGGAAGTAGAAACAGGTAGAGCTGTAATAATGCTTCATCAGTTTATATCAGAAAATCCAATGTTGGTCCCCCTTCCCATGTTGAGCATGATTTGGCATCATTTTAACCCTATGTTTCCATGTCAGACTCTTAGAAATTTTTGGGATATTTTCTTTTTGAAGATACCCCATTATTAGCTTGGCTTTTACATATCGTCGACGATCTAACAGAAGAGCGAATATGGCGTAAAGGTCAATTTTTTTAATTCTCAGGATTTAGAATTCGCTCTTTTTCATAATGAAGAATATTCGCCCTTACACTAGAGATGTTCCTGGCGCAGAGTTAAAGTTTCTCCGCCAAAGTGGGCGTTCCTAAATTTTCTTTCTGCAATCCAAATAAATGAGAAGTTCTTACGCTCCTGAAGTTTTTTTATTATAAATTATATATTTGCTCCTTCGTCAGATCTTTGACAATATACGCACTTACGGAGGGACATAACAACAGGAAAATCGAGTGTCGGATGAAGTGAAAGGTGTTCCATTTGAAACCGAATTCAATTGTTAATAAGAAAAAACACTCCCTTCTTTATTGAAATCCTTCGCTCAACTGATACCCTCTATATGACAGTCAAGGTCACCGCCTAGCTATAAATAACAGCATTGCCTTGACAATTTTCAGCATTACCTCCTGTGTTGCCAACATAACATAACATAACTATGTAATGGGTTCGGTTTTAAATGGAACACTATATACCTGATGTGTTTGCATGCAAAAGCTTCCGCGAATTTGAATTGCTCCACCACTCAATTTTCCAGCTTTTAGTCACTCCATAGTTGTTTGACCCACGAGAGGTTTGAGAGACCCTGCGTAAATCTGACAGAGCTGAGAAAGATCAGATATGCATGTTGGATGTCATGGCAGCCTTCATTACAGGAGAATGGAACCATTTCCTCCATATTCGCTCTCTTGTTGCACATGAGGAATGAAGTGTGATGTTACCATAGCCATAGCTCTTCTGATTCAAGGAGGCAAAGTAGATGCCCTTTCCGACGAGTCCTCCAGAATGGGGCATGATTCTGAGGCCTTCCTTTAGAATGGCAGCAACGACAGCAACGTTTGTTCCGTGCCAGAGCAGCTTTCTGTTCGAAATGCCATCATGACGCTTTGCACGAAGCCCTTCTGGTTCCCTGCAATATTTGACGTGATTTTTGTGACTGTTATGATCCAGCATGCCGCACCCAGTGAAGAAGGCTAGGCTAACTTGAAACGGTTACGAGGATACGGAGCAAAGCGGCGAATCCGTTATCAGCTTCTTTTTTTTTAGCCATTGTTTTAAACATCGTGCACTGCCATATTATTCATCAGGACAACTTCTAATTCAGCATTTAGATGTGGAACGTGGGATAAAGCATGTGCGATGGGCGGATACATAAAAATTATCTGTTGTTATATTATTTAACGAGTTTAACTGGGCCACGTTTTTTGTATCACCATACAGTATCACTTGGGGAAATATTATTAATGAACGTGTTTTCAATTCCAGAAATTTGAAGATTTTCTTCATGTAATAGTTCGTAAGTTAAAATATTTTTCTCGTGTGCTACATAGGAAACATACCTGACTGTCTGCTCTGGGACGAACACCCATATATCTTCGCTCGTTCTTGAAACGTACAGAGCTGCATGAGGTACCCGAGTGAGATGACTCACCTGTTGATCTCAAAGATATCCAGGATTCGGAGTTTCGTGTTATCAGGCTTGGTCTTCTCCTTGTAGGTCTGGAGGATCTCGTACATCTCGTGGGATGGATCCAGTCGGGTGAGGCGACATTTGAGTTGTTCGTACTTGACATCCAGTGGATGAGGCATCTCTTTTTTCTCTCCTTCCTGCCAGGGATTCAGAAACGCAATAAGCATTTTTGATACTCCCTCTCAAGCGGTTACGAAGGAAAATGAATCAAGGGAGAAAGCTTCTTCATGGAACACTTCTCTACAGTAGGTTTAAAAAAGCAAAACACGACTGAAAATGTAAAAAAAATTTAGTCCAGGGAATTCATTAGAATTTTCAAATATAGGATAACCAATAAATTGGTTTAGCTACTCAAGAGATATGTGTCTCAGCATCTGAGTCGTATGACCTTGAGCTTCGGTGAAGCTGTTCATTACACCATGGGTGTAATTACTGACATTTACTGATGATTTTGTGTAATTTCTTCGAAAATATTGAAGAGTTTTTATAAGTTAATAGAGCCCTGAGAACCTTCTTCGTAGAATCCTTTTCCATGCTTTGAGCAAGTTCAATGTCGCTGAGAACAAGCAGCATGTCCTTCTTCTCTCGAATCAAGTCTGCATTGTCTAATACAGTTGGCCTCATGCGTCCGAAGTCGTGAGGGATCAGAGTGTAGAACTTGGACGACAAGTCGGACAGGACATCTTGGCTCTGCCAAGAAACCAAAACCATTCATCGTGGGAACCAATCTGAATGCTCTGGGTGGAATTTAAAGGACCTTGGGGAAACCTTTTTGTTTTTGATGGCCTCTTCCAGTTCGAGGAGGGCGTCGAACCCCTTAGCAATCTGTTGCTTGCTCAGTTTCCCCAGAGGCATCTTCTTCGTGTCTACAATTACATAGGGCATAGTTTCAGAAATGTTATTAAGTTTGTCATGTAAGATGGGCCAAATATTGGGAAGGCTCAGACAGGACACGGGTGAAAACGAAAAAGTTGTCAGATCAAGAAAAGATGCCGGTTGCATTAAGCCCGAGGGGAAGGGGTTTCAGATTCTGGTCAATCAAAAAACCGGTCACCAGACGTCTCATAAATAAAATAGAAAGTGTGAGATGCCCGCCGTTGAAAGAGGAAAAGTCATGAGTAAAGTGGAAACGTTGGTTGGCTTGGCGACGCTACCCATACATGGAAGCTGTTGATTCATAAGTGTGGAAACGTCGTGAACTCCAGCGGTGTATCAGCCGTGAACTTTTTTCAAATTCTATTTTCTCTTGTGAGATATTTTGTCTTTCAGGGTAATATTCATTCTAATATTTTAAAAAGTTCACTGTTCCTTGAGCCTGCTAGAGCCGTTGTAAACCCGTCTTCCTCCTTGATTGGTCATCCCTTTTTGCGATGACTGTAAATAATGTTACGTGGGAAAGCTAGAAAAAAAAAAAAGGTTCCAAAGAATATGCTCCTTGTGATCGCAGCATGGGATAACACGCAATAAAGGGAGAGGACATGACAAGGAATTGCTATTTTATTGTCTTTTTTTCTTTATGCATACGTATCAATTGTAAAAGAAAGTGAAAATTCCAGCTGGGTGGTTGCTTTGCCGGATCCCCTAAAATCTTAGCCTGACTAGCATGGCATGAGTGAGTCATTTTAAATTTTGAAACTGGAATTATTATGTTTAAATTCCCTGATCATGCTAAATTTCTCAAAAGACGTGTGGTATGCTTTGCCCGTGATAGTATTGCTTTAGAGGTTAGCCATAGAAGGGACAGACCAAGGTTCATGGCTTTCATGGCGTTGTTGAACATATCATGATCGAAGATCAAGGAGATTAGCTCCTGTGTGGCCTTATCCAAAGAGCAGCCTTTCACTTTTTTCTTCTTCCCCTTCTCCTCCTTCACTTCCACTTTCTCTTCCTCCTCGTCCTCTCCTATTCAAAACCCTTCGTCGTCATCCCAAATGTCATGTCTTTCACTATCATTTTAGAGGAACTGACCGCTCATGTCGAGAAGAGTGTATTTGCCAGGGTAAGGTGTGAAGTTGTTCTGATTCTCCCACTTATTTTTTGTCTTGTCGGAGAACTTCTTCTTGAACAAGTCGATGGCTTTCTTTTCATCCTTAGCACACGGTGTCAGTGATGTCTGACCTGCCTCCCCCTTATTTATAAAAACAGGAAGATCAGGAGAAAGGACTTAGCTTTCAATTCAACTCCATATCATTTTGATTAAATTTAACGAAGAGTTCTAATGCATATTAATAAAAATAGGTTAGAAGAGGCAAGGGAATGAAAGAAGAGGGAAATAAATCCTACCACCCGTCCCCATCGATTCCATGTCCAATAATTCCCAGTCCTCTTGTTGTGAAGCACTTGAATGACGTAGTACTTGTTGTTGTTCTGTCCAATGTTTGTCTGGTTCAGCATGGAGTCGTAGTCTTTCAATACCTGTCACAGAGCAGATCAGAACGTGACTCTTTGATTTTGCTCTGGCTCGATCATCTCCAGTTATTTGGGCTAGGAAGCACTTTCATTTTCTCATTTTTCGCCTTGGAATCATCCGGATTTGGGTTGAGTGAAAGTCATAGGTGTCCCATGCAAGTCTACTACCTATTGTTGAACAGATATTGATGGGCAAATAGATTTGTCACGTGGATGAGAGAAGAACCAGGCTTCTTTACAGAATCCGCCATCAGATAAAGTCATATTAGTGTCATTGCGTGAGACTGACTTGGACATCCGAGTCGTTGCTGAGGGGGCAGCTTTGATCGACCTTGGCTTTCCGTTTCGCTGTTGGGTTCTCTTCCTTCAGGGCCTGAAAGGCTTTCTTCATCTTCGTCCCCTCACTCTCCTCTTTCTTCATCTTTGCTGGTGGTTCCTCTTCATCCTGTCTATTACATGATTCAATCTGAGTCAAACAACCGAATCAGATTGAATTTCATTCAGGTGAAATTAGCAAAGAATACTTCATCTAATTGGTTTCATCAGTTGACTCGGTAAGTGACTAATCGCATTGCTCAGCTCTATTGAGGTCACTCCCGCTTCGCATGGAACTAGAGATCAAGAATGTTGATAGCATTCCTATTCATGCTCATAGACACGTGTATCACTCACTGGTGTTTCTGGAGCCTTTGAATCAGTTGGGTCTTGGTGCCTGTTTTACCCAGGCCATTTGTCTCACACATCTTCTTCAAGTCCGCAACCTTGAGGCTCTTCAAGTCCGCAACCTTGAGGCTCTTCAAGTCCACCTCATCCTGTGAGGTGGACACTTTGCTGGCCTTCCTTTTTGGCGGCATGTTCCCTTCTCAGGTGGCACTAAGAACTGCTCCCAGACCTAAAGCCCTTTTTGTGCACCTATGGAGAGTACTATAATCTGTACAGGTATCTTCAACGAATTATTCTTTTGTTTCTGGAGGAGTTCTCATGGACGAACTCGAAGAGGATGTTAACTTAAAAAATAAAATGAAGTCGAATTTTTGCTAAGCCTAGTCTTAGACCCGAATCAACTTTCTCCATCGTTTCTAAGTATAGCGTGAAATGTTCAATTTCATCCAGATTGATATAACCGGGGTTCATTCAATATCGCTGACATTAACAAGTCATGAATTCGCGATTGCCACTGAGATTGACGACAGAAATTTTGAAAGAAGGGATAAGTAAAATAAAAAATTCCATGTAAATAGAAGGAATGCCTGCTGCATTTCATTACAATTTCAAACGAGTCACCGTTTGGAGTTAAAAATTGACGCGTTTAATTTGTCACTCTCCTTTGACATCCTTGCTCCCACAGTATTAATTACCAAAAATCTGAGTCCTTTCGGTACTAAACGAAGTACAAATCGAGAGGGGACACGATCCGAACAGCAAGAAAACAAGACGTTGGGGCCAAAGAATTACCTTCAAAGACTGATTTCAAAACTGCAGTCCAGTCACAGTTCGGTTTCAGTTCAGTTCCAGTTTTAGTTCAGTCGCAGTTCCAGTTGGGATTTTGTTATGTGAATAGTCGCTTAGACCACAGTGGAACTACAGTCAGACTATAGTCTGAACTGAAACTAGAACCGAACTGCAACTGAACTGCCGTTTTGAAATCAAACTTAGACATGACAGAGAATCAGAAGCGTGCTTCCTTGATAAGTGTTTATTATTCAGACCTGTTTTCTTAATGTCTTCTTACAGGCAACCTCTACCTGTAGTCCAGGGGTTCTTAAACTGAGGGGCGTGAGAGGGTCCCAGGGGGGGCGCGACGGGTCATGGTATATATATTTTTTCATCTACTGCTATGTGCAATTTCAAAAACTATGGAATATATTATTTATCTATATTTTTTTATTGGAAAAAAGGTCACATTCCTTCAGGTCTTTCTGGCTCTTTCTCCAGGAGTGCAAGACTAAATGAAAGCAATTCAAGGGGCAGACTTTTAAAGTCAATTCCTTTTTTTCAAGGGATGTACATCTCCGTTGGCGATTTCCAACGATTCGAATGAAGTTGACAAATTAATCGTGCTCCCCTTTGGGTTTTAACTTGATTGCTCGATGAATGTAACGTCCGTGCACTCGTTCTGTCTAAATAAATACTTGAAGAAACTCAATGACGCAGAAGAGCTAGGTTCCCTGGGCAGAGCAAAATTTCCGAAGACATTTCTTTGTCAGGTCTTTGAAAATGAGATTTGCGCCGTTATTGTTACCGTCCAGTCCAGATTCGCTCATTTGTGGACCTTGAAACATGTGAGAGTCGTTCTCATTAAATTACGCGAATGACCATCCGATTTCTAGCTGTGACCCGATCCATGAAACGTTGCAATCCGTTTCCTATTTTTTAAATTGTCGCATGAAAAAAACATCCATGGTGTAGGTTCAATTTCTAGGTATTCCTCTCAGAGAGAAAGGGGGCGCGACGCCGAACCAGGGTCACTAAGGGGGGCGCAGCGTAAAAAGTTTCAGAACCGCTGATGTAGTCAAAGACGTGGTTGAGATACGAGGAATGTCCTATGCTTTACGGCAGACATGTTCTTGAAGGTCGGCTCAGATCATGACTATTTTATTCTTACGATCAAGTGATTATGCTCAATTTGAAAGGAGTTGACTCGCGTTCCTTCCCTTGGCTGCTACTCACGGCGAGAAATGCTTGAGGATGCAGTGATATTCAAGTGCCAATCGCTTCTCAGGAAGTACGCGGCATTATCTGCTTTCCATTCAATGCCTTCTATGTCTTCGCAGGCCATTATTACCCCTCCATGGCCTTGTTTCTTTGCTATTGGGGGCATGATGCTACATGATTTATATTCTGTTTTGTGGACAGAAAGTTTTGAATTTTTAGTTTCTTGTATGTTACTTTTAGTTACAGAAAGATTAAATTACTTTTTCCCTGTCATCATGGGGCGCCGTTGTCACGTGGTCGTACCCAATACAAGAGCTAGAGCCACATGGACCTTATCTGTCCAGCTACTAATAGGTAAGTGTGGCTTGGGAGAGATGCACGAATCTTCACGTTTCTGGCATTTTTAAAATTACATTTTGATCAATTAGACGCGGAAAGGAAAACGATATGAGATTGTAGGTAGGACTATGCAAGGTAAATCGAAGACGCTCTAGCTCTCAGGTAAGGACCACTGAGCTAAGAAATAGAACTGGAGATGGCGCACAATACAATGGTTTTGGGGCAATTGGAAGCCATCTTAGTTGGGTCTGTGGTGGCTCTTCTCCATTCACTACAATGGGATTTTCATAATTTCCCATCCCAGTTTTCTTGCTGTCGTGATCATGATGGC